TGATAATTAACTCTGTTGTTGGTGACTTTGTTTGTTAACAGATATGGGTAGGAAAGAACATCCATAAGTATTATATAAAAGTTACTCAACAACCCTATTGAATTTTATTGTTTATCAAAATTCAGTAATATACAGCCAAACATGTTGGTAATTATGATATTAAGATTAGTAACAAAATTTTAAGTATCTATATTATCAAATGGTTTTAATTTGTTTAATATTAACTGCAAATTCACTTACTTGTTGAATATTATAAAACTTCCCTTTTGGTAACGAGTTTTACATATGACGCACACTCTCATTATTATTAAAAATAATTCTTATTATGTAACTAAAATTATACACAATCAAACAACATACAATAATTACTTTTTTTAGTTTAAAAGTTCAAGATACAGATTTTTTAAATAAGACAATTTAAATAGGAGTACATACTTTGGCGTATTATGTCAATTTTATTTCTCAAGATGACAAATAGTGGCACTTCAAATTGGCACAGATGTTTTGTATGGTATAGCCAGTCCAGCGTACTTGTATATATAGAGGTCAGTGACATGTGTCGATACACTGGTGCCGCTATCTACGTGCGTAAGCAATGTAAGGCCAGGACTATGTCGATATTATTTATCTATAAACAAATTATTATAGTCCGCATAAGTTCAGCGTTGGTGAAAGTGATTTCTAGTATTTTTTCATTCATTACCTACAGCCCTTCACAAGTCCGCCCCAGAATGTAGGTCAAGGGGTGCCACAAAGCACGGTTCTGATCCATCTGCATCCATCGACTTCTTGCACGTCTTACCAGGTCGTCAGTCCATCTATTGGGGGGTAGCCCTGTACCTCATCCACCGGTACGAGGCTGCCACACGAGAAACTTTTTCCCCCATCGATTGTCAATACTTCGAAGTATATAGCCAGCCCACTGCCACTTCAGCTTACTAATACGTTGGGTTATGTCCAGCTCTCTGGTTCTACTGTGAATATCCTTATTTCTATGTTTATCATGCAGAAAACCCTGAGCATAGCCGTCTCCGTAGCTCGTGAGTGACTTTGAGCTTCCTCATACGGCCAGCAGTGAAGGGTTTTTAGTGTTATATAAAATTATGATTTTATTAGTAAATATAATTATGGCCAGTTTTTAAAAGCCTGATCTAATTCAGATTTTAATTCAAATTTAATCAAAACGTTGGCTATGGGTACTGTCCACATTGTGTTTATAATAATAATAATAATGGAATGGAGCTGGGGCGGATAAGTGTGCGGTCCTCCATGTTGAATGGGGAAGGGTTGCTAACTCTGAGGGCATAGACTTATCTATGTCCATCAACTTAAGGACCCTTTCCGAGGCTGAAACATACCAATACCTGGGTATGTCACAGAACATCGGTATCGATGAGGCTGGTATGAAACAGTTTGCGACATGTTTTATGCACGCTTGACCAAAGTGCTTAACAGCCTTTTGTCCGGTGTGAATAAGACACACGTATATAACGGTTGGGTCATGACTGTCCTCATGTACCTTTGGCATACTCAGGTGGACTGAGCTTAACGTCCTGGATAGAAAAGTTCGCACTACCATGACGTCCCATAGGATGCATCATCCGAGATCGTCGGTAATGAGGCCGTACTTACCGCGAAAGCATGGTGGGCGTGGCTTACTGAGCGCCCTCACCATGCATAATCGTGAAGTGTGCAGCTTCCGTCATTATTTCCTGGCGAGACCGGATAATCCATTTTATAATGACGTCATTTCTAGTGATAAAGGGCTTACCCGTCTATCCTTAGCCAACGAGCAATGGCGGGACCCACCAGTACAAAGCATTTCCGACCGGGAGACCATATGTCGAAGGAGAAGGAGCTCCCTGGGAGGTACTGCAGGTCTCTACATGAGCCCTTCGTAGATTCAGTTGCCTCCCTCCACTGGCTACGTTTCGGTGACCTCTTCGGGGAAACCGAGGGTTTTGGCTGTGCAATACAGGATCAGGTTATTAAGACCAACAACTATCGGAGATACATCCTAAAGGATGGCACCGCCGACGTCTGTCGAGCTTGTCGCCATCCCGGTGAGTCACTTAGGCGTATCATCTCCGGTTGTCCGTCGCTCTCTAACTCTGAGTACTTGCACAGGCACAACCTAGTAGTCAGGATTCTACACCAGGAGCTCGCTCTGAAATACGGTCTCGTGAATCGGAAATTGCCTTATTATACGCGTAGTACTTACCGGAAGCCGTGCTCGAAAATGACCGCGCCTGGCTATATTGGGACCGGGCCATCATCACGGACAGGACTATTCTTGCGAATAAACCTGATATTGTGCTTATGGACCGGGCACAGTCAAGGATATTTTTGGTCGACATTACCATTCCATATGACGAGAACCTAGTGAAAGCCGAATCAGATAAGCAATAAAATATCTGGACCTGGTTTACGAGGTGACCGACATGTGGGGTGGACCGTAATTATACCTTTAGTCGTTTCTGCAAATGGGTTAATCCCAGTCAGCCTCTCGGGTCATCTGAGGCGGCTGGGACTCCGTGACGGAACGCTCCGGGCTCAAATGCAGAAGGCTGTGCTCCTCGATACCACCTGCGTCGTCCGCAGGTTTCTTTCCCTTTCCCCCTAACCCTCGGCCGTTTGTTTTCCCCTGCCGAGAGCTTCCATCTGGTTGGCTTTTATTTATTTATGTTAGTATATTAAATATATATTTATCTATACTTCTCATTCCCTTTTATATATTTATTCAGCCCAATCAGATGAGAACACTCTATGAATACCCCATAATAATAATGTTTATTTCAGATAAACATATCCATACACATTTGTTAGTAATTTACCTAAAACTATGTTATTAAAAAAAACTATAATAATAAAATAAATTATATCAATAGAACGAGAGCACTCATTTAGGAAACTTGAATGTCTGTCCATTATTATAGGGCTGGGCTGGCTTATATATATGGGGCTGTCAAGCCTATATATGAAGAGGGTTATTTTTATAACATACAACCACACGCGCATGCGCGCACTCACTCATTCACACATACATATTCACTCACACACACCCACGCGCGCATATATCTTTAGCGTTGATTATTATTATTTTTTATTTCAGGTTTATAGTTAATTATTATGTAAAGATCATGCAAATAGTAATGTGAGTGCTATGTAATAGAGGAGTCTCCCAACACAAGTTTTTATACTCATTTCCGGTTATAATTTATGTATGATCATTTACTGATTAAACTATTTGTATTTATTATTTTTATTAAACCAATAATAGAAAAATTTACTACTTTTTGTAGTGCTTTATTATAAAATCTAAACAAAAAATAAATACCTGTTCGGCAAACAAACCCGAATGAGTTAATTAACTTATCGATAGCTAAAATTGTGGCGTACATCACTAAAATACAGTTAATATTATAAAAATTGCATACATTTGTTACGAAGTGCCAAGTTTCAGTTCAACTTATTTAGCCTTTATTTTGTATAATATTTTGATAAAGACTAGTTATCGATTATATTAAATTATAATATATTCAGAATCGTGTTGGGATTGAGCTGAATATTTAAATCACTTGACAAAATCCACTTCACATGTAATGATTACTATTCATCATTATATATATTTATTTTGTGTAGTAAATTATATTTATTTTAAAATCGCTTATTTTTCACTTCATGAACTATGCTGGCAACACTTGGTATTTTACGAAAATATTCAGAAAATACGAGTTTTAACGATAATATTATGTTAAAAGTATTCACACACACGAAAATTCACGTTGTCCTTTTGTATATTTGACGGGTTTGATTGTTTTTTGCGTGAAAATAAAAATACACTGCAATTCGGCATTTTTGTCTGAGCTCAATTGACTGACGCGATCACTTGCGTAATGACGCACGACGCGGAGTAACTAGTTTTATATAACGGCTATGACTCTCGTACCTTTTACAGAGGGTTATGCCTTGCGATGCCGTTTCCTTTGGTTTAATACTCAAAGGACTGGTATTTTCCGGGAGATAGCGAGTCTAAACAAACAAAACCTCTTCCGCTTTGTTATATTATATATGTATTAATATACGAGGGCGACACTGAAAGCTTTTAGAACTGGCCACTTGTAAACGATATATTGCATACTACAAATCTTAATTTTCCGATTATAATCGCTTCACGGCAAGAAATAAATAAATATTGTTAAGTTTTCCACACATTCGGCAGAAGAGAGTCCACTACCTCTTATCATCACGTCAGTGTTTGAAGAGACGACAGAGGGAAACTGAAATAGGAGATGGGCAGTATGCTGATAACCTATTTAAAAAACTGCAGTTACTATCTTCAGGAGAGTTGTGGCGACTATAGCAAATGTCGTTCCTATGAGACTTAGTCGAATGTTGCAGTTTAGTGGTCACTCGGAATTTTTAGAGGCCTAAAAAACTTGGGGTGCTCAGAAGAGCTGGACAATATTTCATACAGGTACACCGCCTGCAACTTTACAAGGCGCAGGTTTGGCCTCAATGGAATACTGTGCCCAGAGATGGGCACAGTATTCCACTGAGGCCGAACGAAAAAAAAAAACGTTTTTGCCGACCGAGTGACCCCACAAACGTTTGCGTGCGTAGTTAAATAGTAGGCGTTAGATATTTATAAATGAGAATTAGTTAAAATAATGCATTACCAACCATTCTGAATTTAAAAGATTATTAAAATGACAGAATGTTTGAGGTGTTTTTTCTGAAAAAATTTTGGACGTATAATAGATGATTGGATGAATGAAGTACGTAAGTGCTTGTTTTGTGCTCTGTTGATATAAAACATAAAACAAAAATAAAAGAGTATGTAAATATCTGTAAATTTTTATTACCTTTTTAAATTCAATAAAGCTTGTATTGGATGATCTCATAAACTTTTTAAAGCATGACTACGTGATCATGACTTAACACTCACTTAACTGGCGACCTTTTTTAAGCATTCTTATTTTATATTTTTATGATAGTGATTATAAATTGTGGTTGATTTCGACAGTCTTTACGGACTCAGGTTCCAAAGAGAGATTGATGTATCTGCTACTACTTATCCAAACACGGACATTTAACTCGAATGATTCACTGTAAAAATAAAAAAGTGCTGAAATAAGTAAACATGTATGGTAAAACAATTCATCACTTCTCTTAAATAGGAACACTTAAAATTTTAATACAATTATATAACAACATAAATACCGACAGTAAAATAATAGAAATATTGATATTATCAAAGTACAGAGATATAGATTTTTTAGAAGCTACCGATGTCAAATAGTAAAGAAACAGCCCCTAAACTCATAAAGTCATGGGTTCGATACCGCCATTCCATTACTGTTTTGAGTAGTTCAAGACAGTAATTGAATGGCGGTATCGAACCCATGACTTCATGAGTATAATGGTTTTCCTTGTTAAGCTAAAATACTTGCGTTAGGAGTACCTAACCAAAGCATTTTAGCTTTTTTAAAATTACAATTCATCATCATCATTACAGCTCATCACAAATCCACTGCTGAACATAGGCCTCCCCCAAGGTATGCCACAAAGCACGGTCCTGAGCCACCTGCATCCATCGACTTCCTGCATGTCTTACCAGGTCGTCACTCCATCTAGTGGGGGGTCGCCCTACACTTCGCCTACCGGTACGAGGCTGCCACTCGAGAACCTTTTTTCACCAACGGTTGTCGGTTCTTCGAGCTATATGGCCGGCCCATTGGCACTTCAGCTTACTAATCCGTTGGGCTATGTCGGTCACTCTGGTTCTACTGCGGATATCCTCTTTCTAAGTTTATCACGCAGAGAAACTCCGAGCATAGCCCTCTCCATAGCTCGCTGAGCGACTTTGAGGGTCCTCATACGGCCAGCAGTGAAGGACCACGTCTCGGTTTCGTAGGTTATCACTGGCAACACGCACTGGTTGTACAACTTAGTATTCAGGTTTTGAGGTATACCTGACGAGAAGATGTGTCGTAATTTCCCGAACGCTGCCCAGCCGAGTTGAATCCGTCGATTGACCTCTCGGTCGAAGTTTTACTTACCTAGTCTATTTGTCCCAGGTAAACGTACTCGTCAACAACTTCGAGCATAGTGCTCCCATCAACTACCGGTATAGGTGTGACATGGACAGTAAACATGATCTTTGTTTTGTCCATGTTCATCTTAAGACCTATCCGTTGGGAGGCACTATTGAGGTCATTGAGCATAGTGCTTAAGTCCTCCAGCGATTCTGTCATAAGGACTATATCGTCGGCAAATCGAAGGGGAGTGATGTACTCGCCATTGATGTTAATACCGTATCCTTTCTAGTCCAGTAGCTTGAAAACGTCTTCTAATGCCGCGGTGAAGAGTTTCGGGGAAATAATGTCACCCTGTCTTACACCTCTCTGCAGTTGGATAGGTTTCGTACTCTGGTTCTGTACTCGGGTAGCCATCGTAGCCCTACTGTACAAACACTTCAGCACATCGATATACCGACAGTCAACTTGGCACCGCTGAAGAGACTGTAGCACCGCCCAAATTTCGACGGAATCAAAGGCTTTCTCATAGTCCACATACGCCAGGCAAAGTGGCAGATTGTACTCTTCGGACTTCTGTACAATTTGCCGAAGGTGGTCTATGGTACTAAAACCTTTTCGGATTTAGTACCATAATTTTCAAAATTACAATTATAAAAAACATAAAGCGATTTCAATCAACACTGCATGCATATGATTTAAATTTATATAAGACTAGATACTTTCATTCTCTTTCGGTATAAAACTTAGAATGAAGTAAATACATAATTTTGAACCTTTTTACTTTCAATTCATCTCTCTCTCTCCCTCTCAACAGATTTTTGATCTGTTACTGTTACTGGGGTTATGTTTGCCATAGTTGCCACGCCTGGACGGCAGTTTGGAAACCACAGTTTAATTTCAGTTTTTATTAGTAAAACGCTGCTGCCCATTTCCTGATTTGTTTCCCTCTGGCGCCCCTTACGAGACCCACGGTAGTGGATTCATCACTACGCGCTGATTTTCTGAACAAAAGAAAAAAAAAAATGAGAAATCTGTTCAAGGCTTATAAAACTTACGTATTGTGAAGAACAACAACTACATTGCCATCCGGAGTAAGAACAGCTATGTTATCCATCGTCGTAGCACTCAAACTTGAAACTTCTAAGACTCGAGATCCGCGTGGGATGAATTTAGAAAAATGACCGAGAGCGTAGTACATCGGCTGCTTCACAAATTCGTCGGCATCCCCATAAACTATGATCGGCGCATCGACGAAATTGTCCGCCCAATTTGGACCGCCATTTTTATCCAAGCACAGGTTCCAGTCGATCCACCCGACCACGAAGTTATTCAAATCCTATGAATGAAACCTATTATATTAAAAATAGAGAAAAGTATAATACTTATGATAGAGAAAAGAGAAGAAAGTAGATGGTGGATATAGTAATAAATGTACAATTCTATCGAGAAATTTGTGTTAGATAATACAAAAGAACGTTATTCATTTGCCTTCACTCCCTTGATTTTATTATCACTCCAGTAAGTTCACAGTTCTCTTTCATCGTCCTCATCGTTACAGCATTTTTAAAGTCCACTGCTGAACATGGCCTTCGCCAAGGAATGCCACAAAGCACGGTTCTAAACCCTGGATCTCTGATCAGGTTATCACTTTATCTAGTGGTTAAATACGACATTACCACTCAATAACCTTTCTTCCCCATCTGCTGTCGGTTCTTCAAACTATATGGCTAGCCCAATGTCACATAAGCTTAGTGATCTGTTGGGCTATGTTAGTGACTCTGGTTTTACTGCTGCTCTGGTACTACTACTGATATCCTTATTGTCTATCACGCAGAGAAAGTCTTCTTCAAAATCATGCTACTATGGGTTATTCATAACAAGAAATATTTATTGTATGTCGATTATTTCATAAAAATAATAGGAACAAAGTAACTAAAGTGCAACCTGATACTGAGTACTGCAGCCCATGATTACCTAAAACCAATTTTAAAGAAAGAAAAGGGTTATACATATTAGTTGTCATCCCTAAGGATAAGGATCTATCGTTATCCCCCGGCCATTCACTCATCGAATGGGAAGTAACGAGGAAAGGAGGACAGAGACGTAATGTCATGCTCCTTGTCATGACCATCGCTCCCTGTTTTGTTGGTTTTTTAGGCGCGAGTCAAAGGAGTGGCAATATGAGCGCGAGCCCAACACAACAAACGCAGCCCGAATCGAGCGCTCGTTACGGAAGCACGTAACGACGTAACGTATCATTTAAAAATCATAAATAGTGAACCTGAACCTATCATCATCATTCAGTCATATTATCACCCGAGTAAATAAAATACAGACAAAAAGCTATCTGGACGACGACAACGTATATTTCTTTTTATGACATTGATATAATTAGCTATAATAAATATGCATAGCTCGCACGCTGCAACAGTTTCAGCATCCATTCTGTTGCAAAAGCGAGTGACCTAGTGCTTAGCGTCGCGATTAGTTGCGCGAGTAGAGCAGTGTATGGACAGACAGGGACAGGGTAACATCGCGGCAGCACGAGTAGTAAAGCGATGACCAGATGAGCATAGTGAGGCCGAGCCATTACAGACTGTTACTACACTGAGGACAATTAACCTTCATACTGTGAACACTACACTGTTGCTTAGCGGCAGAAATATATAAGAGGACGGTTAGCACCATGACTGTGACAGTATCCAGTCAGAAGTTATGTCTCTTATATAGACACTGTAGAAGCATAAATATCTAGTAAAGGGAAAACTAAAATATTTGTTAATTTCTGTCCAGTTTTCCATATACACAAACCGCATAAATAACTTTGTAATCCCATATAAATATATAGAATTACAAAGTTACATTTGCAGTGAATGAATCAGTGTACTTGTATATTATGTATAACAAGTGTAAACTGGTACGTTGTTGGTACTCAAGAAGTAGAAGGTACCAGAAAGGTAAAAAATAGAACTATCTTATATATAAAAAGAAATGAGATGCCATTAAAACATAACTTGTAAAAAAACCAAGACTCGCAACTCAGTTCCTCTACCATAAAAAGTTGTGAGATCTATGTATAACAAGTTAACAATTCGGTTAATTTATTCAGTTCCTACTTAAGGGTCCTTCTGTTTTAAGTTATTACGTAATTAGCTAACCTTACAACATTTTATAGTGACCATACATATGTTTTAATAACATAGATGATTTACAATAGTACGTACTTACTTGAACACAACTAACATACGCATTTTAAGTAGAGACATGTACCAAATATTCTTAACCGTATCTGCTGATATTAGAGGGCAAAAAAGTTCTGTGAGTAATCGTGTTTGTTAATTTTAGCGGATCATGAACGGACTTTGAAATTCTTTTAATTAGAGCTCATTTTTCTAATCATTAGATAGTTATCCATCAACTAAATTATAATCTGATTGAATATAAACTACCTACTACCGTAATTTTTAATTTATATTGAATTTTATCTTTTTTATTAAAGAATAAGGGTAACAAACGAGCACACAGTTGTCCATCTGATGGTAAGTGGATACTTGGCCCATAGATATCTATACAACATCCATGTAGATGCGTTGTCACCCCTGACGACTAAGAAGTAATGTCTCGTTTCGGTTAAGCCGACCCATTCGTGCCACAATCATAATGTAGCTTTTTTTTTTGCGGATGGAAAATCATCTAATGACGCCTTTCGCTCTGGGTGGAGCGTAAGGGAGTGTCAGACTTTTACTGACTAAAAACCATCCGTGTTCCTTCAGTGCCCTTACGTTCCGGAGCCGCGGTATCTCTTTCGAACAGCCCGCAGCCCAATCATAATGTAGCTGCAGCGTGACTTTATTATGATGTGTAATATATTATGAATAACTTCTGTCTGAGTAATTAAAATTAAGCCCTTAATGAATTTATTGCTTCACTGCCATACGGCGCGGAAGATGAACATTACCTCTAGGATATTGCGGATGTAACTAGCAGCACGCCTCCACGAGCCGATTTCGACCTTGTCGAGATGCCAGGGCATCGCACCTAAGAATAATTTTTACAATTACTCTAGGTATAATTAGTAATATAGTTCAGCCGTTCAGAGAATGCGTTCCCTGACACCTATCAGTTAGTCACGACTAGTGATGGGCACAACATAACACTGAGTTCGTTACCGTTCCTCCAAAATGAACCGCCGCGTTATTTTTAATTTTCGTTTTAAATTGGCGAATTATTTAAAATTTATATTTTAGTAATTTAAGTGGAAACCAAAAAAAGGTAATATTAATATAATAAAATTGTTTTATTTATTCTTTGTTACAAAGTTACAATCTGTATTTCTATACAATAAAGTACATTGAATTGAATGTGGGTACAGAATATTAATCAGACTCCGATTCGCTTGAGGAGGTGGTGTCTTCATCGTCATCTTCGCCTACATGTATAATTATATTATTATCAATAACAGAATCAATCCTGATATCTCGGTCAAAATGTTCCACAATCAGGTTTTTAGTCTTCTCAACAACCTTTGCCCAGTCATCTCTTGTGACTTCCCTGCAGGCTTCTTTTAATAGGGTCATCATCTTTTTCGTGCTGAATGGCGGGGAAGTATTGTGGCGGGCGGCGTAACATTTTATTTGAGCCCAGATTAGCTCAATCGCGTCACATTGGCAATGATACGGTGGATACCAACATCGCCCTTATTTTCTTTAACTAATTTAATTAGCTCTGGAATTCAATGCAATACTTTTGCTTGATACCAAGCCACCATTTCTTCTTTTATTAGCTTGGTGGTGTCTGTATTAAGTGATAGGAGGCATTATCTCTCTATTCTCTGGTAGGCTGGGCAAAAGCACGTTCCTGGAACCACTCTTTAAATGTAGTGGCATTCATTTCCTCGTGGTAGTCATTTGTGGTTTTTGATTGAAATGCCAGTAAGAACACAATACAAACACAATCAAAGTCCGATTTAGCGCCGATGTCAGTTTGAAAAGCAGAAACAGTCCATTAAACGAAAGCACTCCATTAAAGAAAACACTTGAAGAACGTGGTCTATGCGCACGAAACGACAACAGACGACCGTTTTAGCGTCACAAAATGGCGGCCCATAACGCCATTTGGGGTTACCATTTTCAACTAAAATTTAAAAATGCTACTTTCTTTCGCGCGTTCGGTGTGGTCGTAGTTTTATTTTTATATTTAATAAAAGTTATCTTATAGTCCATTATTTTCAAATTCTTAAAAAGAAAAACAAAACGTATTATTTTATAAAGTAAGAACAGATTACGATACTGTTATTGCCTGTTATTGTTAGCACAGCACTACAAATATAAAGCGCTGACATAACCTTGTAATAGCGCAGTATAGATTTAGAAAAATATTGTTTACCAAGTTATTTGACACAAAATTATAACATTCATTGATTATTGATATAATAATGTTGTTTTAATGCTCATCAATTGTTAAAACGGTAAACAACCAGCAAAAATATTTTTATCGTAACTACAATGCCATTACAAAATTACGTCGTCAGTTCAATCGCGACGTGTCAGGAACGTATTCTCTGAACGGCCGAACTATAGTATAAATACCAAACTGCTTTGCAACATTTCATCTTTTGTTAAGTATAGGTACTCACTTGTAGGTATTATGGATACTCGCAGCCGACTCAACGACAACAGAAGACTATTCAGGGTTATTTTTCAAAGAATAGCCAAATTTTTAACTTAAGTTCAAATATATAAATAATGGTATAAACCGTTACTGCAGTTCTTGAAAATACGAGTAAATAAAAAAGGATTCTACTTTTATTTGAAATAATCCGAGATGAATGTGATTTATGGGCAACAACGTTTTTCCTGCCGATTAGTGATGAGCAAAGCAAGACCAAGATCAAGACAGTCCCAAGACTGACTTGGTCTTGGTCTTGGTCTTTCTCAAATACTTGTTGTCTTGGTCTTGGTGTTGTGTAATCTGTCTTGGTCTTGGTCTTAGTCTTGCTCATTCATTCTGCTACTTACGTCGTTTTTTAAAAATTTTCATGACTTTAAAGGTATTAATTATATATGATCAACAATTAATATCTATAATTAATTAAACTTAATTTTACTATGATCAAAAATTTTATCGTATTGGTTTTAATAATAATATATTATTATAATACAATATAATATAATATTTTTTTATTACCTTTATATTGGGGTGTAAAATTAGTGGGTTAAATTGGAAATAATAAAAACAAAATTTTTTGTTTATATGTTTATAAATATTTCAATTTATTAGTTAACCGATTACGAATATCTTCTAAAAAGCAAATTATCAAGCAACAATATTCCTATAAGAAAATGCTTAGTTGAATCTTAAAGAAATATCGAATTAATGATATGAAGGTCTTGGGTTCGACTCCCAGGCCGGAATAGTTTATTGTTTTCTTAGTAATATCTCTTAATAAATTCATATAGGGAATTTTAAGATATAAATTATGTTACCGGATTTGTTCCCCGGTCGAGATGATCGCTGTGCATAAGTAGAATTAATGGAAATTAATTGCATAATGTATTGTCTTATATGAGTTTGATATGTTTTGTATGAAAACAAATGCCTATTTTCTATGATTGATTTATGAAAACATTCACTTATATTGTTTGATAAGAAACATGATAACTGATAAGAATCTGATTAGAAATAGTTTTCGACGTTTGAAAATTGTGTGGAATCATTTAATCACCTGGTATTGTTGATATTAGTGTATACTAAACTTTCCATTTTTACTGATAGTCGATAGCTGTGCAAAAGTTAGTTGTTCAAATAGTGTGAGTTCATAGACGCACGCTAGCCACGTACTTAGGAGGCCAAATATGTAGAAATTTAAATATTTGCAAATTTCAGCAATTTATGTAAAATGACTTGTAAAACATTTCAGATTGATTGTACGGGTAAAAGAGGTGAATTCTGTGTTATTTTATGTGAAAATTCCTGTGAATAAGTAAAATAATGATAGTTTTGTATAAGAAATTTAAAAGTGTTTTAATAGTGAAATGTATAGAGAAAATGTAAATTAAACTATTGTATTAGTTAAGATATTTATAATTTCAAGTGGAAAACATTGTTTTAACTTTCTATGTTAAATATTTAAGAAATTCCAACTTTGAACATGTGAGTAAAATAAGCATATTTTAATTTTTTTAAATAAATATAGGGTTTTTTGTGATATGAAAATGTAATGTATATCGTAGTATAGATATTTTTTTGTGCTATCTTTATAAGTAAATTGTATAAATGTACATGTCTTATACAAATAAAGTTATTGAGCAAACCGTGAGAGAGTGATAGTACAAATTGATGTAATTGAGTTGCGCAAGCGCACAAATGGCGCGGCTCACTTTCGCGTTTAGCTTCGAGGTAGTTCAGTAAAATGATTTTTCTTGCAAATCGTTCGGGAAAGTTCGGGAAAAGTGCAAGACCAGCAGTCAATAAGAAGAAGAAAGAAAAAGTATAGGGAAGTGATAGGGAAAAGTAATTACTCTCTCACGGAACGGTTTGAAGATAATTGCTGTTTTATTCCCAAGGAATTCTCCCCTTAAAGTGATACAGTCCATATCGAAGAATTAAGGCGTTGGGACCGGGACGACTTCGGAAGACCCGTAATCCCCGCCTGAACCTATTTTCTGAAAAGGTAGAGGTTACCGCCCTTGTGTGTTACTCCGTTGCGGAGATCACATACGTTGTTCCCGAACCCAGCGTAGGCGTTATAGGAGGCCGGATCGAGAGAAGTCTCGATTCCTCCCTTCTGTTTCTTAGTTAACGTTTGTCTGGTTCCTTTTCAATTGTCATTAATAATATTTTACTACACGCATAATTGCGATTAATACTAGGGTTGGACGTATATGCTCAAGTCAGTTATTTTAGTGTCAGTCAGTTTAGTTAGTTGCCACAAGTGTAGTAGTAAGTTGGTATATTTGCTTTTTGCTTTTAGCAACATCTAACAAATACTTTTTATAGTGAACACCTTAAAAATAACTTTACGTCCTATGTCTAAGTTATGATATATACCTGAATAAATTCTAAATTCTTAATTAAGTTTAGGGATACTCAGTTTCTTACATCCCGTTACTTAAGATTCATAACAAAAAAAGCTCTCTATAAATGCTGAAAAAGCGGATAGATATGACACAAATTTGAATACTTATAAAATCATAGCTACCGAAGGGCATTAATCTGAAAAATAGTCGGAATTATTATCTTGTACATTGGAGATAAAAATTAAAACCTTAAAAAATCGTAAAAGAAAATCGTAAATAAAACCTAAAAAATGTAAAACTAAATATTTTCACATACTTTAATGTACTTAGTATCGTTTGCCCGAAATAACGAACAATAATTTATTATAATATGTATATAGATGCGGGTGACAACCCAAGTTAAAACTGATTCTTCTAGATTTAAGCACAGTAAATATAATAGAAATACAATAATTACTTGTATACCGAGGTCCTACTTATGGATGGAACCGATGGCACTTTTTGAGGTTATTTATTAAGAGTTTTAAATAAGCATGCTTTTAACGTAATTAATGATTTCAAGAATAATTAAATTTTATTACCTTCACAAGCTTCTGTTGATAAGAGTATTTTGTTGGGATATTTTTCTTGTAATGTCGACAAAATAGTCGCCGGCACGTAGTTCCCGTAATAATGTATTGCTATTCCATCGATGTATTCAATAGACTTAGGATCTCCTCTTTCCATCTATAAATAAATGAAATGTATGTTTTATGAATCAATTCAAGCAGTAGGATATGCTAGGCTAATTTGCCACTAACGGCTACGTGATTACAGAAGAAACAGAACTCCTAAAAGATGTCTTTGCTATCCGTCCGTCACTTGTTAAGACAATTTTCTAAAGAACGGGTAGAAGCATCAAATTGAAATGAACGTCAGTCACTAAGTCAATGGTGTCTTGGAGGTATACAAAAATCAAGCTTCTCTGTCAACGCAATTAAAAGATACAGTCATTTTGTCCCATGTTTTGACATCTATTCGCAAACTCATTCATAAACACCTATACTACTAGGATACTTCCCGTTGACCTAGAGTCACGAAATTTGGCAAGAAGTTTCAAATTTAAACAGATGGAAGGAATACTTTGAAAGCGTGTTTATGAGTGAAGAGTCGTCTGAATTAAATGAACTAGAAATTCCAAAAGTAGTGGAAAGGGGTATGGAGATAAGTGTAGATGAAATAATGAAAGCAATGAAAAGCATGAAATGCTAATGGCTGGAGAGGGAGTGGTGGCAGGCCTGCTGTACACCTTGTTTAATTTATGTTGGGAATTAAAACGGGTACCGGATGACTGGTGTAAAGCAGTTATAGTACCAATATATAAAGGAAAAGGGTCACAGCAGGACTGCAAAAACTACCGTGGTATCAGCTTGCTTAGTATTGTGGGTAAACTGTATGCTAAGGTGTTAATTGAAAGAGTTATGAAAGAAACTGACGGAAAAATTTAGGATGTACAAGCGGGTTTTCGAAGTTATGGGGTGTACAGATCAAGTCTTTTCCATGCGCATGATTGCGGAGAAGTTTTTGGCCAAAAACCAGAAAGTTTTTTGTGCGTTCATGGACTTGGAAAAGGCTTATGACAGAGTGGACAGGAATGTGTTATGGCAAACACTGAACTCATATGGGTTGAGCGCTGGTTTGATACAGGCATTAAGGTCTCTTTATAGGAACTCTAGTGCTTGTGTCAGGATCAATGGGGTCTACTCGGACTGGTTTGGCATCCAAAAAGGTGTCAGACAGGGCTGTGTAACTTCCACTTGGCTGTTCAACCTATTTATGGACAGGTGTTTGCAAACTTTGAAAGATGAAGAATGTGGGTTAAGAATGGGCGAGTTAACCGTCAAATGCCTTCTGTATGCCGATGATCAAGTCATATTTGCGTCATCGGCGGCTGAGTTGCAAATGATGGTTAAATTAATGAACTGGGAATTAAAAGAAAGGGGAATGAAAGTGAACGCAAGTAAGACGAAAGTGATGGTTTTTGAAAGACAAGAAAGCAAAACGGTATGTGAAATAAGAATAGAAGGAGAGTTAATTGAGCAAGTGGATGAATTTGTGTATTTGGGATGTGTATTTAGTAGGGATGGTAGATATGATAGGGATATAGAACGACGAGTAAATGCAGGGAATAGAGTGAATGGGGCACTACACTCTATTATGAGGAACCAGAATGTGTCAAAAAAGGCACGTATGGTAATTCATAATGCTGTGTTAGTCCCTACCTTAATGTATGGTAGTGAAAGCTGGGTGTGGCAGAAGAAGCACGAAAGTAGACCACCCTTTGGGTGACAGGCGTGAGTGTTATTATATATATATATATATATATATATATATATATATATATATATATATAATATTATTTTGAACGTGCAGTTATTGGCACCAACATAATTTTTTATTTGGGCCCAAACCAATCCAATTGGATTAAGTTTGCAATGGTAAGGCGGTAGGCGAAGAATTGTAATGCCATTACTTTTGGCAGTCTCATCTATTAAATATTTATTATATTCTGGGGCGGATTCAGCAACTTTCATTAATAATTCTTTTTTTAAATAAGTCATGTCCATGGATTTGCCTTTGCTTTGCAGCCAATCTATTATTTGCTGCTTGTTCCAGCTGGTTGTTGGTATTTTTTTGACTCTTACCGAATGATAGGGAGCGTTATCCATGACAACCACACTTCCTAGTTCTAGCTTAGGCATTATAATAATGAACCAATTAAGGAATCTTTCATCATCCATTTCTTCATGATAGTCTTTTGTAGACTTAGATTCATATACTAGTAGACCATCTTCCACAAATCCTTTGTCGCTGCCAATGTGCAATACTATTAACCTTTTACCTTTTCCTGTCGGAGCTTTTGGACCGGCTGATAAACCATCTTGGCTTGTCTTTTATTTTTTACCGTTGTATCCAACCATGCCTTTGTCTTTACGTGTCCGGCGTTTACCCACGTTTCGTCAAGATAGTAAATGGTTTTATTAGCGGCTCTGTATTCTTTTATTTGCCTCAGATATTTACGCCTCCATAAAACAATATATTCTCTTTCGACTAACAATGTTCTGCTATCCTGTTTATTGAATTCGAAACCAAGCTCCTACATTATTTTATGAAGTTTGGTACGTTTGAAAACAGGAATATCTTCGTCAGCTTCGCAAAGTGTCATAATTTTGTCCAATGTCTGGTAGTCGTTATTTAAATATATTGAGTGAAATTTTCTCCTTATTGCACATTTGTCTAGTTCATCTATTTTATCGACCGTCGATAGTCGAGCTCTTTTTTTCACGGGTGATTTTTATGTGTTAGTATCCTTTTGTTTTTAATAATTTTATAAACATTATTTTCGGACACACCACATGCACTTGCTGTTTTTATTACTGTGCTCTCCACTGTCGCATTTAAATCACACAGTTTAAAGCACTTATAAACATTGTAAACTACTCTCCGCTATGGATTATTGATCCACTTTTATTCTTTCTAATAGGTGAGGTATTCATTTTCCAAATTTAATGTTGAACGAGTAACACCAAAAATACACAACCGTTTTGTTTGAAGGCCTGACTTCAACTGGTCACTGTGAACTCGACTTTCTAATTTCTTGCATTTTAATTGGCTGGGGGGCGTGGCCAGGCCGGCGGACAACGATGACTCACTATTTTCTTAACGCGGACGGACTATAGGTTTATACAAAACCCTCACGTCACGGACCTACTCGCAGATGTCCGATAATGTTAAATTTATTGTCCTATTGTAGCTTTGTTAAAATCCTGTGACGCATAAACCGGTTATATAACTAAGTTTATTGTAAAATAGAAACTATATTACATTATATTGTTAGATATAACCTAAAAGTCTTCGATCAATTTTATTATCGATCGAAGTTTAGAGTATACATACGCATAGCTTGGATAAAACCTTGAAAGTAAATGATAAGTTTTGAGAATAAACATATTGTCAACGATCTAATTATCTCATAGCTTAATAATGAAAATAATGTAAACTACTTACACCACTCAAGAAGAATGATAAGATGTATCGCTGATCGTCGACAGCTAGGATCAGAGTGTCGTTAAAGCGGGAATTTCTTATCGTTGGTCCCAAATTGTTCGCGACCCATCGACCCTGTAAAATACAAAAAATGCTTGTTACTTAAACCTGCGGCGTAGCCGTACGAAGAAGATAAACGCTAAGGAAATAATAACGTCTTTTAGACCGAACTTTTGGTCACGGCAACCTGTCTCAACGGATAAAAGCCATCTGCGCAGGATAAGTTTATAGTGCCCAAGTGTAAGCGCAAGCACAGGTACACAGTACACTCTCCCCCGAACGGGTTCCCGCCTTGTCGTGGCGGGGGGGCTTAGAAGCCGTGGCTTGGTCACCCACGGCGAAACAAAGAGGAACCCATATGGCTGGTCCGAGGTGGAGGGCCGGCCCGAGGTGGCCACTCCGAGTGGGCTTGGGAAGCCCACTTCGGATGTGTGTTGGTGGACTGCGGTGAGAGGTGTGTCCTCCCCACCTACCGCTGCAGCCGAGGTGGAGTCGCGGAGGAAGAGGAGTGTTGGTATGGCGATGCGCCACTCGCCCTATCCTCCGCGACTCAAACGGGGCCGCACCGTTGATGCGGTGGTGCTGGGGCTGCGGGGGGAGAGGATTGTCGGTATTGCGAGGCGCCGCTCTCCCTATCCTCCGCAGCTGAATCTTGGTTGGCGGCGGAGCCATAGACCAGATCCGCCGCTGGGGTCGGGAAGGCTAGTACTTCTAAGTGCTCGTTTTTCCTGGCCCTATGGCCTTCGCGCATCGGACGCGGGGGGCGTCTGTTGCGCAGATGTAATTGGAGGCCGTGGAGGAAGGCGTGCCATGTGTTCTGGTGCGCCTTACTTGGGAAGGAGAACGGGGAGGAATATTCCTCTCCCGATGAGGTGCTGCCATGGGGCGACAGTCGCTAGTTGGGCCGCGGATGTGTGCGAAAGCGTTCCCGTAGCCCTGCCAATATGCGACGAAGGTGGAACACCATGGGGTTTTAGTCGGTGCGAGTCCGACATAACCCGTCCTTGCCCCCGCGAGGCGGGTATGCGTAGGCATTTCCCCATGTTTAAAAAAAAAAAAAAAAGGTACACAGTACACTACCTAGTTCCTCTAATATATACTTAGGTACACTTACATAAGTTTAAGAGCTTAGTAATTAAGGTAAAAGAAAAAGATTCATAATTTTTTTCTCCACAGTATTTTCAGAGGTTTAATTTTTTTGTTAAAAAGTTTTTATTTTATAATTTTTTGTTGCCATAACTAATTACTACATGCTTAAGTTTTAATTACTTTTAAAATAGCTACTTACCTTAATTTAGCTATTAACTCTTAAATAATCCTACTTTAACTATTATTTGTTAAAGCTCGACCTCGGAAAGAAAGTATTTGCCAAAAGACACTTTTTTTGCAAATGTGGCACTGAGTAAAACACTTAAGAGTATTGTTTTATCTGATCTAGAGCCAAATGAGGTATTACACAAACCTCACGATGAACAAGCTTTAGCAGAAATGCAGAGACTGAGAGGTCCACACACAAGAGACTGACAGGTCTAAAGCTTTTTCATCGTGAGGTTTTTTCGTAATGTAATGTAATTTTTATGTAATGTTGTAATACTCAGCTCAGCATTAAAATCTGTGAGTAAACAATAAATCACCCTTATTTTCTCACCCTTAGGATAATTTATTTTTCCAAATTTATATGGAACAACTTTCGAGGTATGTATACACTATCCAATAAAAAAAGAATTATCAAAATCAGACTACTCTGTAATAAATCTGTAAGTAACGCAACAATTCATTTAATAACAGTTTCATATTAAAAAAATATTTGAATAGTCCGGTCAATTTAGACCAAAAAATGAGAGTGAAGTTATATAAAGTCTCAACAAGTTGAATTTCGGTGAAATTGTTCAAAATATAATTATAAACAATGTCTAGAAGTTCCCCATCATTCCCCTGTAAGAAAAAATTTTATTCAAGGTCAAAAGTCAAAAAAATTAGTTTTTCGTGATTTTCAGCAAAACGGTAAGTTTTATCATAAAAGTACCTCAGACAAAAATTGTAGATCATAAAATTATCTATAAAAAATGTATTAATACTTTTTTTCTTACGAGCCACCGTTTCTGAGATATAACGATTCAAAAAGTTATAAGTTGTAATCGTCATAATATACATGAGTACGCCACGTATATACATCTAGAGTTGTTATATATTATAATATATATATATATATATATATATATATATATATATATATATATATATATATATATATATATATATATATATATATATAAAAAAAAATATATATATATATATATATATATATATATATATATATATATTAAATGTTTAAATATTTTTCTATCGGTCATTGTAACTTATACTTACAATATAAAATATACATAAGTTTTAACTATAAGAATATCAGGTAAAATTAAACCCAGTCCCTTAATCTTTAAGCCAGTGTAACTTCGAGACATCTGTCTCTTGTTCTATTGTGTGCGTGGCTAGGGTCTTTTATACCTGCTATAATAAATGAAATACCGTTAGTCTTGAGCGTCACTCTGTAGTGAAAACACGTGTTTATCCTAGCCTATATTTTGCTGTTTTGAGTTTTATATTAAAAATGTATGAATATTGTTTTATTTGTGCTAAACTTTTAACTGAAAGTGAAGTTGTTACTGTTGAACGTGGTATGAAGACATTAATTAATGCAAGTATCGAAAGAGCTGATGATTTTTCGGAATATCTCAAAAATCAGAGATCTGTGACAATACATGAAAATTGCCGTAAAAATTATACTCGAAAGTCTTCTATTGCTGCAGCTAATAAAAGACAACGTGAAGAACAAGAAGCCAGTACATCCACAGCAAGTCCTCCTCGTACTAGATCACGTATCAGTGAATCAGCTTTTTGTTTTAAAGAACTATGCTTATTTTGTGGCGAGAAATTAAATGAAGAGAGTGAAAGAAGAAAATCTTCAGATTTTCGGCGTCGAATCAGCCAAGTAAGTACACTTCAATTTAAAGATTCAATTCTGGAAACAGCTCGGGCTCGTGACGATGCTTTAGCAAAAGTTGTTCTTGCTCGAGTCGAATTTGAATATGATTTAGTTGCTGCTGAAGCTAAGTATCATCGAGATTGCTATGCTAATTTTTTAAAACCTTCCACTGGAGCTAAAATGGGTCGTCCTAAAGACGAAGCTACGAATTTGGCAATGGAGGAAATATTTACTTACATTGAAAATAGCGATGACTGTCAGTTCACTTTGAACGAATTACAAAAGGTTTGCAAAACTACGACTCTAGATAACAGAACAATTAAGCTACGACTAAAAGTAAAGTATGGTGATAAACTTATTATCACTGAGAAATCGGGAGCATTAACATTCATATACTTAGTGGATAATCATCATGATATTTTGAATCAAGCTTGGTACGAAAAAAAATGAATAAAACAGAAGAACGATTGAGAGTCCTAGACGCAGCTGCAGCTATTATTCGCGAAGATATTCAAACCGCAGTATTTGATAATTCTAACTACCCTCCACCAAGTCGCATGTTTGAAGATTTAAATAATGAAATCCCAGAATCATTGACATATCTTGTGGAACGAGTGATTTTAGAAAATAAACGATCAAATTTAGATAATTTAAAATTAATATGCACAAATATTTGCCATTGTATCGTGACTGCTGTTCGACCAAGGTCATTTAAATCTAAATTACAATTAGGCCTCGCAGTTTTTTTTTTCATCGAAGGTTCGGGTCTAAACGTCTTATACAAATCTTTTCGGCTTTTGGTTTATGTGCTTCTTATAATGATACAATAATGTACGAGGCAGCAGCAGTTTTCCATCGTCCTCCTCATGTCCTACCACCAGAAAGTGGCACTCTTATTCAATACGTTGCAGATAATGCTGATATTAATGTAAATACGCTAGACGACAATAACACGCTCCACATAATGGGTATTATTCAAATTGTTACTCCAAAACATTCAGTTTTACTAGAAGAACCTATGCCACGAATAAAAGAAACTCTTTCAGCAAATGATTTCAAGGCAAAAGCTCATGTGCCGATACAGACTTATACAAATGACGGTGTAGTAGGCTACAGTAAAATAAATTTTAAAGATTTTGTTTATGGAACTAAAACAGTATCATTTCTCAAAAAAGCTGATGTAATATGGTTTTATGGAAAATGGGAAAATGAGTCTTTACCCGGTTGGAATGGTTTTATTGAACGTTTAACAAATAATCATACGAATTATTCTAAATCTCAAATTTCATTTTTACCATTTATTTACCAACCAGCCAGTAACTATAATACTATCTATACGACTTTACTTTGTGCATTAGAGAATGCAAAACGGTATGGCCACACTGTATGCATCGTGACTTTCGACCAGCCCCTGTATGCTCGAGAAATTGTATCAGCCGCACCTGAGGGCTCTGAATTATCAAAAATCATCATCAGACTTGGAGGATTTCATTTACTGATGTCTTTTATGGGAGCAATTGGTCATATTATGCAAGGAAGCGGCATGAAAGAAGTACTAGCAGAGATCTATGCGTCAAAATCATTAGAAAAAATGTTCAATGGTCATGCTTACGCAAGAGCTGTTCGAGCTCATACACTACTTCAGCTTACTTTGGCAATTGTAATATTAAAAGAAGTTGAAATGAATAACATAATGGATGCAGATCTAATCATAAATATCGAGCATATATTAGGTAATACTCCTATTATATTGAAAATGACGATGAAGTATCTGGAGCTTTACTTAATAAATTTAATCAAAAACTAAAAGAATATGAGGAACGAGGACCAACTGCAAAACTTTGGATTCAATATTTTTGTATGGTTTCCATTGCTAAAGAATTCCTAAGAGCTGAGCGTATGGGGGATTGGAAAGCTCATTTAAACTGCGTCAAAGAAATGCTTCCTTATTTTCACGCGTCTGGACATTTTCCTTATGCTAAATCTACACACCTTTACTTGCAGGATATGAAACAATTACAGAATTTGATGGATCCTGAAGTTTACAAAAAGTTTTCAGGAGGATTTTTTACAGTTAGACGTTCAGGCAAATTAAGTTGTGGAACTTCAACGGACATGGTAATCGAGCAGTCTATGATGAAAGCTATGAAGACAGATGGAGGTATTGCTCGAGGGAGAAGTACAAAAGAGAGCGTCATCAGTAAATGGGTTTATAGTATGCATGCTATGAATACAGTTTGTGACAAATTAGAAGATATCGCAAATGTTAGGATGGATACGACCGAGCAGCATGTTGATGCAAGTGATTTACGAGTAAAAAAGATGCTAGAGACATACGAAGACTTTTAGAGTGGTTCTCAACGCACGATCCTTTTGCAGAGGTTAACAAAATTGTTTCTATTGCGATAGGTGTCGTTGGTGACGGTAAAATTAAGTTATAAAGCTCGTGAAGTTGGACATGCTTCTATGGCAAAAATGACAGGACTGACATTCAATAATATTAAATTAAAACGCGCTGATAAAGTTGTTTCTCTCTTAGCTATGACTAGTTCCATAAAAGTTCATGAAGAAAAGTACCTATTGACCCTGTATTATTGTTCCAACGCATGAGTATTACTGCAGCATTTCAAGATGAAATAGAAAAATGTTTTGAATATGAATTAGCTCCCTACCCTTTATCGTTATTTGATGACATCGGGATTTTTTTTATAGGATAGGGTGACAAACGAGCACACAGTCCACCTGATGGTAAGTGGTTGCTGCGGCCCATAGACATCTACATCTATCTTCCATTACAAATCAAAATGCAGATGCGTTGTCACCCGTGAGGACTGAGATGGAATGCCTCATTTCCAGTAAAAAGGGTCTCCGGTTCTCTACACTCACCATACGAAATACAGCAGCATCAAGCTACTATTTCACGCTGGTATTCTCTGAGAGCGTGGTCCTTCCCCAGTCGAGCCGACCCATTCGTGCTACAACTATACTACTAATATAATTGCAGCATGGCTCTACCACGTAAAAATGGGGATGCGCAAAACACAAAAATCTACCATTTACGATTGTTTTGAAAAAGTAAATATTGATATTAACAACACTAATGCGACACACATCATTGACGGAGGATACTTACTACACCGCGTTGTGTGGGATAGCGAAGAAACATTCAACGTTATCTTAGATAAATACGTTCAATATGTACGTAGACATTTTGGTTCCAGAGTTACTGTCGTATTTGATGGCTATGATGATTGCACGAGAAATATCAAAGCTGCAGAACAACGTCGTCGAACTTTAGCAACATCTTCATCTTCTGATATTTTATTTGACGAACTTATGACAGTCCCAACCAGTCAACAGAAATTTCTTACAGATACCCACAACAAGTCTTGGTTCATTTCAATGTTGAAAGTAAGTTTACGGCTGAAAATATATTGATTATTGAAACAGCAATAGAGCAATTCAATTTGACAAATACAACTATTGTTGTTGTTGTGAAGATGTTGACTTACTTGTATTACTCAATGCTCGAACGCCAACTGAAAAAACTATTTTTTTCTTAAAACCAGGAAAAGCTCAGTATCAATCAGATATATATTCATCAAAAAGTTTATTTACTTTTGTAAAGTGTCAAGATCATGTACTATTTTTACACGCAATAACTGGCTGTGATAAGACATCTGCATTTTACAGGAGGGGTAAAACAGCAGTTTTCAAAATTTTTGAAAAACAAGATTTAATTCAATGTTTTAAAAAGAGTAATTCAACTCAACAAGAAGTTATTACCAACGGCATCCGCTTTCTTCTTTCTATGTACGGAGCTCCTAAAAAAACTACCTGTTTAGATAAGCATCGATATGCATGTTTCGTTAAAAATACTAAAAATAAAAAACAAGTTCAATTAGCTTGTCTTCCTCCAACCTCAGTTGCTGCTCACCAACATCTTTTTCGAATATATTACCAAGTTCAAGTGTGGCTTGGTTATCAGCTAGACCCTACAGACTGGGGTTGGAAGTTGGTCAACAATATATTAGAGCCAGTTCAAACTTTACTTCCACCTGCGCCGGAAAAACCGCTGAACACTATTTTTTGCTACTGCAAAAAGGGATGCAGTGCTAAATGTGGTTGCAAAAAAGTCGGACTGTCTTGTTCTTTGGCATGCACAAATTGTCAAGGCCGGTCGTGCTCTAATATTGAATCACAAACAATGGAAAATTCGTTTGACTCCGACAAAGTATCATGCGATACATCGCTATTGACGCAATTTACTTGCATCCAAAATGAAGATGAAGAAGAAGCAGGAGAAGAAGAATAGGAAGAAGATCAAGAAGAAGAACAAGAATTTGAAACTTACGAATAAGACGAATAAACTTCAACACTTTTTTTTAATTTACATCGCTTTTATCTTTCCCAATCTTTGAAAATTTCCGTTATTATGCAATAGTTTTACATTAAACAGGATCACAACTGACCCTTGGAGTAGGCCTACTGGGGAAACCACGTTAAAAAAACGCGCTAAGTACACTACCTCATAGGTGGCGTGGAAACGTGTGCATATTATGACGATAACAACTTTTATAACTTTTTGAATCGTTATATCTCAGAAACGGTGGCTCGTAAGAAAAAATATTAATACATTTTTTATAGATAATTTTATGATCTACAATTTTTCTCTGAGGTACTTTTATGATAAAACTTACCGTTTTGCTGAAAATCGCGAAAAACTCGTTTTTTTGACCCTTGACCTTGAATAAAATTTTTTCCTTACAGGGGAATGATGGGGAACTTCTAGACATTGTTTATAATTATGTTTTGAACAATTTCACAGAAATTCAGCTTGTTGGGACTTTATGTAACTTCGAATGTCTAAATTGACCGGACTAAAGCAATATAATCACCATATTGAGCTTTTGCAAATTCATCCCTTTAAAATAAACAAATTGCGCGTCACGTCAGTTCATTCTAAAAGACACGTGACAATGGCAGCCAAAAATACGTCACTTTTTTGGGCCGGCCCGCATTCACCGAATAAAAATAAAGTTCTTATATATAATATTGAAAATAAAGTTTTATCTCTTGAATAAGTACGTACTTATTCGGTGTCGTTATCATTCGAATCTTTATATGTGTTATAAATTAATACTTTTGTTCTTAAATGAATAAAGTACTTTATAATAGATGATTTTCAGCTATCTTTTACATAATTTTCTGATAATAGTTAATAAATATATCAATCATTATAAAAAAATAAATAAAAAAGTACAATAAAAAAAGTAAATAAAATAAAGAAAGTACTACATATAAAAAGTGCCTATATATTGAAGGTTTGTGCCCCTGGTTAAACGACCGAAAGGTCAATATCCGTTTTTCTCAATCGATTTGGCACGAACTATACCTATGTACATTTTTCCGTAGGCACATAATTTACATCTTTATAAAATTTCGCCAAAATCGGTTTAGTAGTTTGTTTAGTAGTTATGAAAAAGTAACAATACAAACATTTATTCAATTAGCCTGGTTAAGTTTCTTCATACCTAACATTGCTATCCTACTAGTAAAGGAACCTAATACAGATGTCATCAAAACATGTAAGAATAATGAGAAAGATTTTTGTTTAATTAAATTTTATTATTGCCTAATTAAATTTTACAAAATTTATTTACTGTGGTTCGTAATATTAAAATATGGTTACATAATCGTCGTCATCGTAGTCGTCATCATCATCACCTACATTGATTGTAATTTTATCACGGACCGAGTCTATTACATGATCAAGAGTGCATATTTTGTTCTACTTTAATGGCATGTCTTATGCACTTTTCCCATTTATTTTCGCTAATACATAACTTAAACATAATCATTAAACCTAATTACAAAAAAGGTTTATTACCTCTACATGACCTATATTTCCGTAACAATTATACCAGTCGGCAAAAACTAATTACCTCTGCCCACACTGAATTCTAACAACGCTTTGTGTTGCCCAGTTTTCGTTTATTTCATTGTTTTGAGTATTTGTTGTTACTATTTTGCTATTGTTTTTTTGTTTTGATATTGACTTTGTGTTGTTATAATGCCAAAAAGAACCTGAAAAACTGTTCGACGAATCTCGCGAGTTTGTGATTCGTTTGTGTGGCTATTTTGAACGTGAATACCAAAATGGCGGACCGCTGTTGCCAGTGTCACAAGCATGTGACAGAGTTGCTGAGGCTCTTGGAATTAGAAGAGCTACTGTGACTAGAATCAGCAAAGAAAAGCAGTTTTTCTGAAAGATGCAAATTTGTTAAGTGGAAGCCTACCACCTTTATCAATTGGATTCTATTATAAAAAGAGTAACAAAAGAAAAATTGTTATGGAACGTAACATTGCTTGTGCACGCATTGGTATTTTACGAAAAGTGATAGATATTGATAATTGGGATAAAGTGGTGTTCCTGGATGAATGCAAACCACACGGTTTCTAAAACTTGGACTGATGATAAACCCGAATCATCTACCAAGGTAACTGAGGGCAAAAGTCAAAGGTTAATGATAAGTGGTGTTCCTGGATGAATGCATACCAAACGGTTTCTAAAACTTGGACTGATGATAAACCCGAATCGTCTACCAAGGTACCTGAGGGCAAAAGTCAAAGGTTAATGATTTGCCATGCTGGTACCTCGTCTGGATTTGTACCAAATTGTTTACTAGCATTCAAGTCTGTCAAGACGACGGAGTACCACGAATATATGAATTTTCGACAATTCAAATGGTTTATAAAAATTCTAAATGATTTAGATGAATCCCATGTGATGAATGGAAAATGCACCCTATCATTCAGTTCAAAAAAATAAGCCTTTGACAGCGAATAACCGGAAGAGTGAAATAATTTCATTGTTGCAAACCAATGGAGTACAAGACGACGGCACTATGTTGAAAAAAGAACTTTTGCGTTTAGTGAGAATACACAAGCCCCAAACGCCAATATATGTTTTGGATGAGATGGCAAAAGAAGAGGGTCATACCGTTATCTGCTTGCCACCATATTATTGACAGTATAACGCAATAGAATTGATTTGAGCGCAAGTTAAAGGCATTTAACATTTAAATGAAGTTGATTAATTAGTGCATCACTAATTTTAAAAAAATTAACTCATTGTTTTCGTTTTAGGTCATGCAGCAATATACACTACCCCACCTTCACGGTAAACAAAATGTTAAATTTGCTAAAAAATGCATATGAACATGTAACACCAAATTATTGGAAGAAGGTGGTCAATAAAACATGAAGAATTATCACAGAAGATTGGCAACGTGATGTCCACTTTGATTATTTGTGTGATCAGTAATTAATTATTAATCTCGAAGATTGTTCCAATTACTCTGATTCTAATGAAGATGATTGTGACTTATGAGGTGACCTTTGTGTCAATAAATTTATCATCGCAAATTTTTTTATTAGCGAAAAATGTATCCCCTTGTTTAAATTCTTGGTTAAAATAAGTATTGGATGCATATTTATTATTATTATTTGTGAATACTTTATCGATATATCGATATAATGTTCCCAACACTAGTTACATCAGAATGACGGCGGTCATTCTATCAAGCTATATTTATAGAACACGCAACTATATTGCGCGAGTAGGGCAGTTAGTGGACAGACAGAGCCAAATCGCGGCAGCGCGAGGAGCAGAGCAATGAGCAGCGCGAGGAGCATAGTGTGGCCGATCCAATAGGGATATCGTGCCACATACAATAACAAAAAGAAATACATACATACGTAGAGTCACGCCTGTAATCCTCGAGGACTATAAGTTTCAGACCAACATGGGACAAAAAAGAGACATGAAGTCGCTTAAAACGCCAAACAAATTATATTAAATCCAACACAGGTCCATAGTCCTGTAAATTTCCTTGAATAATATCTATTATACACCTACTATCAAGTACAATTACAGGATGTAAAGAATCCCATCTTAGTTCGTAGAGGTGTTCCATCTTTGTTTGGAGCTACCTTCAGGTGTCCATGGACCGCAGTAGCCACTTACCATCAGGTGGACTGTAAGTTCATTTACCGTTTCAGTTTTATAAAAAAATACTTACGAGATGTGATGGTAGCCAGCCCAGAGAGTTGAATCTCACTAGAGGCACGATGCCGTTGATTGGTTCGTTGGTAGTGGTTACTGCCCAGAGCTTGACACCTGCCTTGTCGTACTCCTCAATGAAACTGAATGGTGAAAACCGTATTGAAATTCAACAAAAATATTTTAAAATCTTTACGTGAATACGAGACAAACTTTGTTATACGAGTATAATGTTTATTAATTAGAAATATATGTCATAACCAGCTCATGAGGTACCTTGACCTTGACCGCCAATTCCTTTTTGTTACTTAACTTATTGTCGCTTACCTGTCTCATAGATGGGTGGAAGCAGTTGAATCCAAGGGCCTCCTCATCGGCCGTTATTTTGAACATAGCAAAGGCTTTCGATCGAATTGGGCACAAAGCGTTTCTTTCGAAGCTTTGTTGCTATAGGCTTCCCGAGAAATTGTAATCTTGGATCACCAGTTTTCTAACAGACCGGAGCATCAACGACGTAATTGACGGTGCATGCTCTGATTACAAGCCTATTAACTCTGGTGTTCCATCAAGGCTGCGTGATTTCACCTACGCTGTTTCTTCTGCATATCAATGACATATTGCAAAGTAATAATAATTGCTATGCGGATGACAGATATCGTGATGCTTTTTACAACGGCCGTACCAATATTTCTCCGAAACACGTCCTCAAATAACGGAACAAACTTATATCTAAAAGTCTTTATTAAACAAAGTCTCGTATTGACGACGACTAAATATAGTTCAGTTTAACCCTTAGAATCTTCGGAGTGGACATATCGTACCGTCGAACGTCGTTCAGTTCCGCGGGCACTTGGAAAGGAAGGCCCAATTAACCTCTAAAAAGTTTGGCGTGTTTTGTAGAGAGGGACAGTGTTTCATGCCGGCACATCGCTTGCAACTTTAGAAGTCCCAGGTTTGGCTTAGTTGCATCTCTGAACCGGGGCAAATCAATGGCATCTCCTTCCATTTGATGGCATCCAGCGAAGAATGGCTCGAATCTTCGACGATCGAGTCTTGCTCATCTACTTGATTCCTTGGCGCTGCGAAGAGCTGTTGCATTTTCTATCGCATTTACCATGGAGAGTGCTCAGAGAAATTGTTCGTATTAATTCCTGCCGCCAAGTTTCACGGTTGTTCGTGGGCGGCGGTCGTATCAGTATCACATCAGGTGAGCCGCATGCTCGTTTGCCCCTCACTTCTATAAATAAGAAAGCATTTGACTGAATCCGTTACTGAATATAGGCCTCTTAAAGTTAGCTGTAAAAGTACCTGAGCCACATGCATTCATCGAGTGCATGCATCATCATGTAATCCTACGAAAGAATCGGCCTACAAAAGAACACTTCATTCGAGACATATTCTACATTTCTGATATCGATATTTGCAACTACAGAACACTTTTTTTTAATAATATCTATCGTTAAGGACTACTTTAGAAATATTACTGACCGTAAATGGTAATCAGCATAAGCTTGGTAGAACTCGGATTTCAGTCGTCCGAAACCAGTGATCTTTTCATTCGTCTTCATCCAAACTGGCGGTGACCACGTACTTGCGGTTATTTTTATATTATCAGTCGCTGCCAGCTTTGCCATTTTAATCATGGGTAGCTGAAATACCATGTTATACCAAATGTAGAAATTTTACGAATTTAAAATTTTAACCATGAAACAAAAAAATAGTATTTTGCATAGTACGTGTAGAGAACCGGCGATCATTTTTACTGGTAGGCATTCGATTTTAGCGCACAGGGCTCGGGATAATCACCCACTTACATTTTGATTCTTAATTAATAAGAGATTTAGTTGACTATTGGCCGCAGTATCCACTTACCAAAAGTTAGATTGTATGCTAGTTTATCATATCAAGGGCCCTGCTCGTTGGACGAGGTTTAACGCAGTCTTTTTTATTATAGGATAATAAAAATAGCTATCAAACGAACACAGTTCAGCTGATAATAAGTGGATGTTAAGTATATAGATATAATAATAATATATAATAGATTAAAAACTAAAATGCAAGTACATTATCACCCCTGAGGGCCAAGATGGAATTCATAGGTAAAGCTCGTTAGTAGATCATCTCATTACCGCGGTTTTAAGCGCGGACAAGCCTAGTTTAGGTTCTAGTATAAAAAAAGTTAAAACAATTAATTACACTAAATACCAAATTCTCATGCAAGCTGTATTTATTTTTACCTTATAGAATAGATCTTCCGGGCTGAGTGAGAAGTTAGTCAAAGCACCATCGTTCCAGGGTAACTCATTGTAAGTATATGGATGAGTCGAGAAGTCAGCGCCCCCAATTGGAACTCGCATCATGTTGTACTCTAGGCCTTCGGGACCGTAGTATGAACTATGATAAAAGTTTCGTCATAGGTTACTATAAGATACAACTCCAATGAAAATATGTCAAGAAGATCAAAAACCTAAATGTGATTAGGTGGTCGACTTCCGTCAAATGACGTTCGGGGTTCTCGTCTTTGCGGATGAAAGCGTTCAGATCGAAACGGGCGCCGAGTACTATAGCAATTCCTATATATTTACGTTCTCCTTAATATTGAATTTTCAACTTAAGATAAAAACTTAGATAAGTTATAAAATATTTTTGATATTTTTGAAGGCAGCAAAGGACGTAACATTCACATTATAAATCCAAAAAAAGTGTACGACCACAGATGACAAACTCTGCGATGGCTAGACCGTGAGTGATCTTCATCATCATTACATCCCTTCATATATCTCGCCCAAACAATGCCACAAAACATGGTCCCGAGCTACCTGCCTTCATCGAAATTGTGCATCTCTTACCAGGTCGTCACTCTATCTAGTGGTGTCTCACCGTACACTCCGCCTACCGGTACGAGGCCACTCAAGAACCTTTCTTCTCTTCATTTTGAAGCCATAGCCTACATAGCTCGATTAATTATTAAACGTACGAAGAAACGAGCATAATAAAGCAATTTGATTATGTCTTTGGTCTAGTGGTTGGAACTTGGAAGTGCGACTTCTCATCATGTTGTTGCTGTTGAGGGTTTTCCGTCAAGAAATTCTCAGTAGAAGTCCGGGGTGAAGAATTTAGCGGCGTTTTCTTCCGTGCCTCGGGAAGCGCGTAAAGCCGTTGACCCCGCGACAGATCTTCCGGTCGTGTCGGATTGCCGCTCCATTGGAATACGAGAGTGAGGGAATAGAGAGTGCACCTGTGCTTGCGCACACACTTATGTGCACTTTAATTCTGTCCTGCGTAAATGGCTAGTCACCGTTAAGACTAGCCGGTGACTACTTTCAAATATGAAATCCAAAGAGGGAATCCAATATATTGAGCAGTAGTAATAAATCGCGTTTCACAATTTGTGATTTCTGGTTTCTTTGGTATTGCGTTTAAAGCCTGCTTCCAGTCTTAGTTATTTAGCTTCGGATAGGAAGTGAGATGGCAGACGTAATAAATTTCACTAACCAGGCGAACAGAAAATGCGGAAAATGTTTCTCCGTTTGCCGGAGGAATGTTGCTATGCGCATATATACATAGTTGTAGCATTTAAATTAATAAAATAGATAATTATTATCAGCAAATTAAGATAAAAACAATAATGTTTGTATACTTCAGCGTTACTATGCAAGGGCTCTGTATGGACATTAACCGATGTTTTTATTATTTTACATCAAAGTTGATACGATCTTTATTAAAACATCTTTTAATTTTACTATTTTCTCAATAAAATGACTTAATAACAAGATTTAAATTAATTCATATTTAAAGATACATAATCATATTTTTTGATTTTACTATAATTATATTATTATCATATTGGTATAGGTAATCAAGTCATATTTGCGTCGTCGGCAAATGAATGGGGAATGAAAGTAAACGCAATTAAGGTGAAAGTGATGGTTCTTGAAAGAAAAGAAAGTAAAACAATATGTGAAATAAGAATAAGAGAGTAGGAGTGATTTAGTGTATTTGGAATGTGTGTTTAGCAGGGATGGTAGATATAACAAGGATATAGAGCGACGATTCACTCTATTGTGGGAGGTCTTAATGTGTCAAAAAAGGCGCGTATTTAGCAATGCTTATTTTAATGTGTGGCAGTGAAAGGTGGGTGTGGCAGAAGCACGAGAGTAGAATAAATGCTGTAGAAAGGACTCAATCTAAATGGCAGTGTGAGAATATGTGTAATGAGAGAAAAGTGTGGTTTGCAAGATGATATGTGACCAGGATTAAGAAAGGAACGCTTCGGTGGTTTGGACATGTAGAAAAATTAAACGAGGAAATGACAAGACGTTAACATATAACGGCAGAATCGGTAGGGGACGTCCGGAGTACGGGTACGGGTAGACGAAAGTTTATCGACCGAATTAGCGATGTATTGAAGATGGGCCAGATTAAGAGTACCCTTAATCAACGAGCATGTATGCGTAGGAATATGGATGTGGAGGAAACGAGAGAGGTGTGTCAGGAATCAGGATCGTGCCAAATGAAAGTCCGTAGTCTCTGTCTACCCCTCTAAGGCGTGAGAGTTTGTTTATTTTATGTATGTTTATAATTCTCGACTACTTAACTAATTTTTCTATTTTGTGTGCTTCATTTTAGGTTTAGTAAAAAATAAAAAAAATAAGGAAAATAAGGAAAAATATATTTGAGATTGTTTTTAATTATTTTACAAAATGTAAATAATAAATCATATATATATAGTTTTGGTATTAACATCAAGTATCCGCGATAATTATCATATTTTTTTTAATTTACTTATAATTATTTTTAATATTTTTTTACCTAAATTAGTAAGTATTATAACGTTCAATTTATATTACAAAAATTATAATAAAGAACTTAACTAAAATAATACTTAAAATTATAATATTAAAGATAAAAAAAAAAAAATAAAACTAAAAATTTAAATCGTCAAAAAGACCTGCTCCCCGTGGTATAGTGCCAAGAACGCTGGCTGCGTTTCCTCGCTGAATAGCTATACTTAGCCTTTGAGCGAGGAAAGAACCAGCGCTCTTATCACCAGCAGCGACGACCAGTCGTGGATACATTTCCTTTAGAAACTTCATTGCACGTGGACCCCACGGACCGATAGTCTCTACAGCAAATGGCACAAATATGTAGTCATTTCTCAGACTCATATTTGCGCCATTTACTAAATTCGGCTGCCTCTGACGCCGCCCCGGCTCTAAAAGAGGTACCCTTGAGATGAGAGGCCGCCAAAGTGTCAACGCAAGTAGCATCTCACACTAGGGCTTTACCTCTCTCCCAAGGGACCAAAGTCATACCGTCGGGTCTCATGCCATCGTCTCTAAATATCCCGCAAGGCTCTAAAACCGAGGGGATATTTATAGAGACAAGAGCCCTTCGGATGATTTCGTTCAAAGAACCGTGACGGGAAAACCTACCTGCACTTTTCTTGCATGAAAGTCCGTGGAGCCCAAACTCATCGACGCTGCTACCACAGGGGCAAATTAATTTACTTATCATTACTTTTGTTATTTCATAAGATTTCATCATAGTGGTTTTCAAAAACAGATAAAATTTATCAATAAGACTTATTCACGTTCTTTCGAGTCTTGTTTCAAATGAATCCAATTTCACCCTTAAACTATCAATTCCTATTAAGTAGACTGAAAATACTCTAGCAAAAGGTGCTGCTGAAATTCATAGGAAAAAATTAACAATTTTGTTCAGTTTCACAATGTTACCGTTACAGCATATCAAAAGTTCACTATTGAACATATTTCTCCCCCATAGCTTGCCCTGTAGGGGGGAGGTGGGATAATTGACATGATTGCTATACTTGGCAGGCTAGTTGGGAACTGCAGTTCTTTTAGTTGTTATTATTGTGACGCTGCTTCTCTTGATTTGTTTCCCTTTGTCGCCTCTTACGACACCCAGGGGATGATACGATACTACATGGTCAACAACTACATAAATCACGGTCACTAGGTAGTAAAAAGGTTAGTTCCTTCCTAAGTCGTCCTAAAGAAGTGGGCTCAGATTATCCCTGATTAGTTTTTTTAAAACCTTAAATACAGATTTCAAATTAGTGTATTCTATATTATGATCTGTATCTGCCCATAAAAGTCCACTGCTGAACAGGGGCATATACATTTAGAAGGTGCTGTCTTCGTCAGGCTTGGCAGACTTGCAGTGCTACGTCTCGCACCTTTGACATTGCTGGTCGCTGCCCGTCGTCGGTCCAGGTGTTTTAGGTTTGACGTCAACGCAAAGATGTTTTAGTTCTATACGCAGTATATTATAATATCTTTGCATAAACGAGGTAGGTATACCGCCATTTAGCGGAAGCCATTACATTTTCATATCTATTTTTGTAGTCGCCTATAACAACTACGTGACGAAATGGAGATGGATTCTTTTACGTTACCACCATATGGCATCAATATTAAAGGTAATTCACATCGACATGTCTTTAACTTTTACGACTGTAGGGAAGCGAATACGACAGCTTAGTAGTGCAATGGCTAAGCGTTTAATATCGGCGTTACTCACCGTTGGTACGAATCCCGGAGGAGAAAAAATATGACTAATATACGTGCAATATATGTATATCGTCTCCACGATTCACGTAGGAGAAAATCTTAGTGTACCGTCTTTCAAAAAGATAAAACAGCGTAGACACGAGGTACAACTAGTACATTGCGATTTGTGCGATGCGAATTAGTATGTGTTACAGAAATTAAAAGAAAAAACACTACGTCTTAACACTACATCTACTACTCTACATCTTAACTACGTCCAATGTAGATGGGAAGCATCTGAGACAGAAACACTATCTGAGAAACGGAAGCACACTCTGTTAATTACTGCAGTTGATCCGCCCAGAGCAATGCTAGCAAACTTTTTCAAACAAAGAAACATATGCCCGCAGTGACCTGTTAGCAAAATTATATTGACTTTTATAACGGTGATGAAACTTACTCGATTAATCGCTGCTGTGTAGCATCCGACAGCGTGCGCCAGTTGATGGCAGCGGCGTCGGTAACCGATCCGCCGAAACCTTCGATGATTTGTTTCCTAGATGACGTGACAACTCGGAGTTCCACTGAATTTGTATCTACAGTTACAACGAAATCTATCAGTGGACTCTTTACAAATTGTCGTATATGATACTAAGAACAACGCAGGATTAATGGCTAAATCTTAACTCTGCTCTGAGGCACATTCCCGTCTTCACTCTAAGTCAATTATGTATAGATGTCGTCCCGTAAACATGCAATAAAAACTGGAAATCGCATAATTCTATTACATATATTCAGAATTTGTCAACTAAAGTAAAAAGGTCGTTTTTATATTTTTGAAAGAGTAAAAATAGGATAAAATTAAGTCTACAAAAATTAATGCTTCTTAATTAACATAATGTTTAAATTTTAATTAAATTCAAAAAAATGGAAGTAGTTTTGTAGTCATTATAGTCGAATATTACTTACAATAAAAACTAGAAGTCGCATAATTCTATTACATATATTCAGAATTTGTCAACTAAAGTAAAAAGGTCGTTTTTATATTTTTGAAAGAGTAAAAATAGGATAAAATTAAGTCTACAAAAATTAATGCTTCTTAATTAACATAATGTTTAAATTTTAATTAAATTCAAAAAAATGGAAGTTGTTTTGTAGTCATTATAGTCGGATATTACTGTTTAAATAACTTAAATTTAACTACGTTAAAAACCCCCGAAACAAAAAGCAGATGGTCTTCAAACGGTTGAACAGATTTTCTAAGAACATTCGATTAAGGACGCGTTTGCAAATCAACCAAAATTAGGGTGTTTTTCGGTAGATTTTGTGACAAAACTAAACCAAATCAAATATAAGTAAAAACTACCATGTATAGATTGGTTCTTCATCTGCAAATGTCTGTAACTCTTTTGTTGAAAATAGTAGTTTTTTATATTGTAAAAACGAACTTTCGTTGCCATTTTCTACAAAATTAACGATACCGGCTTGTGTTTCGGTAGATGTTTTGGTCTATTATCAACATATTTAAAAATTTAAAAAATACTATAAGATGACAGACATATTCAATTAAAAAACCCTGGGTTTATTTTTTAACAAAATGTCACAAATAGTCGTAAAAAAAATAAAACTGATGCACATTTTTTCACATATTTTGGTAATATGGATGAATCATAATGTATTGCAATAAGGGCTATTTTATTGTTGGTGCCTGCTTTGATTTATTGTACAAAGATTTCGAGGAAACCACAGTCCGCGCTCGGCCGCCGTCGTGAGTGGACACTGTATCGCCTGTTTGCAGCGGCTCATTCTGAAAAGATCGCTGTACATACACAAAATATTAGAAAAAAACAAATTGGAAACATAAGTACTTGACAAGTGATAAAATTATTATTTTTATACTCACAGTTTTTATTTAGCTAAAAATAAGTAGGATATATAAACTTACCTACTACTGCAACTCGTGGACGAGCGGAACTAGGTGTGCCGAGTTTGGGCTCGTTTTGTTGGTTATGATGAGACCTTACCTCTGGACTTGATGGCATGACCTGAAGGTGTACTTTCGTGACCGCTATTTGAACTTCTTGCAGAGTAAAACTAGGGGTGACGAATTTGGGCTCCGTTTTGTTAGTTATGACGAGTCTATACCTCTGGAATTGATGGAGTGACCTGAAGGTTTAAATCGGTGATTGCAACTGGAACTCCTAGACTGGTAGAACTAGGTGTGCCGAGTTTGGGTTCGTTTTGTTAGTTACGATGAGACCTTACCACCGGACTTGATAGAGTGACCTGAAGGGGTAATTCAGTAACTACTGCTGGAATTTCTGAACGAGTAGAACTAGGTGTGCCGAATTTGGGCTTCGTTTTGTTAGTTATGACGAGTCCATACCTCCGGACTTGATGGAGTGACCTGAAGGTGTAGTTCAGTGATTACAAGTGGAACTCCTAGACTTGTAGAACTAGGTGTGCCGAGTTTGGGTTCGTTTTGTTAGTTACGATGAGACCTTACCACCGGACTTGATTGAGTGACCTGAAGGTGTAATCAGGTGGTTACAAATGGAATTCCTAGACCAGTAGAACTAGGTGTGACGAGTTTGGGTTCGTTTTGTTAGTTACGATGAGACCTTACCACCGGACTTGATAGAGTGACCTGAAGGGGTAATTCAGTAACTACTGCTGGAATTTCTGAACGAGTAGAACTAGGTGTGCCGAATTTGGGCTTCGTTTTGTTAGTTATGACGAGTCCATACCTCCGGACTTGATGGAGTGACCTGAAGGTGTAGTTCAGTGATTACAAGTGGAACTCCTAGACTTGTAGAACTAGGTGTGCCGAGTTTGGGTTCGTTTTGTTAGTTACGATGAGACCTTACCACCGGACTTGATTGAGTGACCTGAAGGTGTAATCAGGTGGTTACAAATGGAATTCCTAGACTAGTAGAACTAGGTGTGACGAGTTTGGTTTCGTTTTGTTAGTTACGATAAGACCTTACCACCGGACTTGATGGAGTGAAATTCGGCACACCTAGTTCTACTGGTTCAGAAATTCCAGCAGTAGTTACTGAATTACCCCTTCAGGTCACTCCATCAAGTCTGGTGGTAAGGTCTCATCATAACTAACAAAACGAACCCAAACTCGGCACACCTAGTCCTACAAGTCTAGAAGTTCCACTTGTAATCACCGAACTATACCTTCAGGTCACTCCATCATGTCCGGTGGTAAGGTCTCATCATAACCTACAAAACGAACCCAAACTCGGCACACCTAGTTCCACCAGTCTAGGAGTTCCAGTTGCAATCACCGATTTACACCTTCAGGTCACTCCATCAAGTCCGGAGGTATGGACTCGTCATAACTAACAAAACGGAGCCCAAATTCGGCACATCTAGTTCTACTCGTTCAGAAATTCCAGCAGTAGTTACTGAATTACCCCTTCAGGTCACTCCATCAAGTCTGGTGGTAAGGTCTCATCATAACTAACAAAACGAACCCAAACTCGGCACACCTAGTTCTACTAGTCTAGGAGTTCCACTTGTAATCACCGAATTACACCTTCAGGTCACTCCATCAAGTCCGGTGGTAAGGTCTCATCATAACCAACAAAACGAACCCAAACTCGGCACACCTAGTTCCACTAGTCTAGGAGTTCCTATTGTTGTAATCACCAAATTACACCTTCAGGTCACTCCATCAAGTCCGCAGGTAGGTAAGGTCTTATTATAACTGACAAAACCAGTTCAAAGTCCAGAGCTAACATCTCACTACCAGTAGAGGGCTTCCAGTGCCAAGCAGTCTTTGGAGCAGGTATTCATATTTCGTATCGAAGTATATTTCTGAGGTAGGTATAAGAAATGAAAAACAAATTCAATCTTTCAAATTATCAAAATAATTTCATTTGACTACGATTCCCACAGCCAACCGTGCGTACACTAGTGTGTGTGTGACTTTTGTCAATGTAGTAGTGCGATTCTATACCTATCCATTTTGTAAACGCGTCCTTAAGACACCTTTTCATCGTTCGATAAAAACATTATCAAAATCGGTTCATCCGTTCAATAGCTATGTTGCCACAGACAGACACACAGATGGAAAAACAAACCACTTGCAAATACACAAGGTTATTTTTCAAAGAGCAGCCAAATTTAAACATAAGTTCAAATATATAAATAATGATATACCGTTATTGCAGTTTTTGAAAATACGAGTAAATAAAGCTTCTACTTTTCTTTAAAACTTTCCCAACATTTGTGTGATTTATGAGCAACATCTTTTTGTACATTAGCTTCTTTATATGTATTACCACGCATTTTGAATTCATATCTTATGATAAGAATATTATTAATGAATGAATAATATCATTTAAAAAAACGACAGAACGTTTTGGATTTTTTTTATTAATTTTTCTTCACCATTCGCCTAAATTATTATTATTGTGAACCTTCTCTGCAAATTTGGTCGGTTATTGCAAAATAACCTTGTATAACACCCCTCTGTTTTCGTCGGGCGTTAAAAAGGACCTCTTTTGCGTACTTGTACATTCGTATGTTGTGATTTTTTTCATCTCGTATATCGAGTAAAAAAAGATGATATCATCTCCAAACCAATTTTATTCCACATTTAATTGAATAATAAATAAAATAAATGATTGGATCGATTTTAATGAAAGTTATTAAGCACGTCTAATAAAGTTTTCAGTAAAAACGTTTCCAAGTAAATACAAAAAAACCTAGTTGTGAAGTTGCTATTATACATAGGCCGAATCCCACTAAGTCCCATTGTATTTGGAATATACTTACCTTCATGAATTGTAGGTTTGTAATTGTTTGCAACAACTCTTTCATTCTGTAGCATGCCATAGCTTTTTTCAAAACGTTGCCCAGCCTGTTTAAAAAATATACGTTTAGTAAATAAAGACACTCACAACACGCGCACGCGCGTGCATCCGCACTCAAGCACGCACGCACGCATAAAATGCTTATTCGCTTTTTGTATATTTTCCTGTTTATCATACATACATCTAATATTACTTAGATTTTAGACTGAGCCGTAGGTGGGGGCAAGTGATCTGCCATAAATACCTACAGGGAATCCTATTTTAGACACCAGTTTCTCACAAATTAGTTGTAGCATATTTTTATTACGCTGTATGTTATGTAACTTCCGAATTATATAATCTAGCGCAAAGACTGAGAACAAGAATTTTATTGTATTTAAATTACTCGAGAATGAACCTAATATTCACGTTATTTTTCTCATATTTTTGCAATATATACAACATGTAACATAATTAACGCACATCCGGGAAGTAGTTTGTTCAGAATCGTTTACTTAATCGATTCCTATCATTTTTGATATAGGTAATTTTTTATCCCAAAAATAATTCAAACTACGTAAATTACAGTCACACAAATCTGTATAGTCAAAACAAACTGAAATGGACCGTAACTTAAGCCAATAAGACTTTTAAGAGTGCAGTTTTATTTGTATTATTACTAATTCTGTCATTCAATAAAAATAAAGAAAAATGAACTTTATTTCAAGCACCTTAAAGTCTTTGCGTTTGTGGATTTGTACTGTGACCACAACATTCTTCCGGAGTTAGTATAACTAATTTGATAAATAATCAGTGCAAAAAACTGTTTAACTAAAAATTCAGTGTACGTATTATGATTATAACTGTATTGTAATTATGATTGTTAGTAATGTACTTTGTTACTTAATAAATAATATATTGCAATTAACCATGACCAAGGAGCATGCAAGCGGTATACAAGCTGTATTGAAGTTCGTTTTTATACTAAAGGCTGTATTTTCTGGCTGTAAAAAGGCTGTATAAGTGTTTATACATTTCTTATAAGTAAAAAAATGGCTCAAATTATACAGCTTTATGCGTTAGGAGCGCTGTACAGTTGCTGTACAAGCATAAAAGAGGCTGTATAATATCTGAATCACGGCTGTTATTTGGTATACAAGGAAACTATTACACTACAGATATCACCTTATAAGTATCTTTTAAAGATAAACCTTTTAAATGTGGGTTTGAACGGAATCGTAAATGAATTTATGACAAATAAGAATTTATTAGATTTATTTATTTACTTTATTGAATGAAGGCGACATTTAGTGATTGAATAATGATATTACGTATTAACATTACTCGGATTGGAGTTGAGTTTTGACGGTGATTACTGGTGATGAGAGTGCAAAATTAGATTCACGGTAAACATGTATATGATTTCTATCAAAAACTAGCCGCGCCATCAAAATAACCAAATAATATAAGGACAAAATACTCAATACGGTAAGTAAATATTGATTATATAGGTTAGAATAAGAACCCAATTAAATTAATGAATATGAATGCACATTGGCAAGCCTTGTAAAATTGCAAACGGTGTACCGGCAAGAAATACTGTCACACTGTGCTAAGCACGCAAAGCCTTTTAGAGGCCAGTTGAGCCTTTCCTTCCAAGTGAATTGTACGTGATTCAATATATCAATGTCGAGGATTCTGATGCTGGCTGAGGTAGCATGGAGAGCGCCCTAAAATTGAGGAGATACAACAAAAGGGTTCTTTTTAGGGGTAAACGCGCAAAACTAATTCTTCTGAAGTTTAAACTGGTTCAGAGTCGTCCCTAATCCGAGATTGTTTATTAAAGACTCGATTCAGACACAAGTTTTTTCCGATACTCGATGACGTGTTCCCGAAAATTATTAGCACGGCCGGTGTAAAATTGATCAGCAGTGTTACATCAGTACTTGATGCTTCGATTTGCAAGAAAACTGATGATCCAATTGCACAATTATTTATCGTGAAGCCTATAGGAAGAAAGCTTCTAAAGAAGCGCTTTGTGCCAAAGCTCACCGAAGGCCTTCGCTATGTCCTAAGTAACGACCAAGGCCTCTTGGACTCCAATGCTTCTGCTCATCTATGAATCGGGTAAATTAGAAGATTAGAACTAAAACCAGCTGAATAGTGACCGCCAATGCGATAGTCCTCAAAGTACATAACAAGTTGGAAGTTTTTAATGGATTCAATTATTTTGGAGAACAAGGAGGCTATGGTTATATATGGCCTGTCTAATTGGTCTGATTGGTCGCCTTATTAGGGATCGGTTGCACTAAAGCTGTCTTCCACAAGTTAAGGATTACACCTAGGGAGTAGGAGTACCGGAAAAGACGCGTTTGGACCAGTGCTAACTCCGGAGCACCCGTCTTCAGCACAATAGGAGGCCTATTTGATTTGTTGACGTCCAGGGAGAGGAGTGCTCAGCACACTGAGCGTTATATAAAGCGCACATCCAGCATGGAGCAATCATACCGCGGGATGGTCGGCGAAGTGTACCCCCAGTCATCGAGAGTCGAGTTGGAATCAAAAAGAGAACTTAAAAGATCAACTTTCTCCTTTGCGGCATGGGCAAGTGAGTCGTTCTTCCTGTGCAGTGATGAAACAAATGGCTGACAGAAGTTCCCTTGTACAGAGCTTAAGCACTTTACAATGAATCACGTTCAGTTAGTCAACGAAAAATGAAAGTCACCAAATAATTCAGTCTTATTTTTTCAATCTATTTATTTGTTTTGTACCAAAAATAATGAACGAGCAATAAGTAAACTACTTGCGGCACTTACTCTATTATTTATGAGAATATCATAGCAATTTTTTTACAAGGTGTGCTCAGCTCATGAGGCAAGCTCAGCGCCCCCTCGAACCTTGCGTCCTGGGTTTCAAGCCTAAATAGCCTGTGGGTAATTCAGACCCTGACGATCCTGAGTCACCTGTATCCATCGATTGCCTACGTGTTTCATCAGGTCGTCATCTACTCCCAACACTAACATTCCATTACGAGGCTGTCACTCAAGCACCTTTCGCCTCATCGGTTGTTTGAGCTGTATGGGTGACCGACTGCTACTTCAGCTTACTGATCACTGGCTTATGCTATGTCAGTTACTCTTGTTCTTCTGCGGATATCCTCTTACGGGCTTTATCCCGCAGTGAAATTCCGGGTATAGTCCTTTCCATGACGCCTTCTCATGCGGCCAGCAGTATAGAACCATGTTTCAATTTCGTAAGTAATCATTGTGCTCACGCACTAATTGTACACTATTCTGAGGAAAATCAGAAAAGAAGTTAACGTGAAGTAGCGGTGTAAGAACACCACTACCCCTATAATATCATCCTGTGGGTAACGTAAGAGTCGACAGAGGAAAACTGAATCATCAGCAGCATCTTCCTGATAACAGGTCAATAAAATTAAGAAATACTGCGGTTACCAACCTGTTTGCTAAGCGTGAAAACTATGGCACATACATACATATCTCCTCTATGAAAGCGATTGAAAAATACCTATTCGTATTTAAAAATATTTCTGTTATAAAATTATTTCTAATATTATAATAAGTAATAAGGACTTACATTACTGCTTGTGTAAGCAACAAAAGTTCCAAGCGCTGGAGTTTCTCTGGTGATGGTATCGCAGTAGCTGGCATCACAAACGCACACTATGGACCGCCCTTCTATACCGACATCTCGAGCTTGACATGGTAAGTCTGTTACATAATATTTATTCATTTCATTTTAGCCGACTTCGAAAAAAGAAGCATGTTAACATTTCGACTGTATGTTATTTATACATATGTTACGCGGTATCTTCGTCAATTGTGAACAGATTTTTATTAAGTGGGTTGTACTTCGGAGTCGCCCCACATAATTTTGATGATGCATCCCTAAGGATAGCAGACAGGGGATTAGAAGAACTATTTAGAGGAATAACATTGTGATACGCCTCCACTTAAAAGGGTCACGATTTAATAAAAAGTAAAGCCCACTTCAAAGTAATAATAAAATATTACTGTATAAAAAAAATTTGTTCTTTTTATTAAAATCCTAATTGTACCGTAATTTTCGTAACAACTCAACAGTTTGTTGTTGCGACGTTGGCAGGTAGTATTTTGCTATACTTACCGCAAAGACTTGGTGACAAAACACTAATTATAATTGTTAAAATTGTAAACAACCGCTTTGTATTTACAGCCATTATTTAAAAACAAAAAGATGTCAAGTAACAAATTTTAATAAGTGGATAATGTTTTATAGTGTAATTTAATCCAATCATTTTTATATTTGATTGATTAATTATTAAATTTTATTAAAATCTCACTAATGCGCTATAATCATTGGTTGATAACGATAAGTTAGATTGTGTGAATGACTGCAGCATTTTTTATAATGACGATTTTAACTTATGTAATTATTGTTTATCTCAAAAATGACCTTGATGTAAAAATCAGTCATGACTTATTGAGGATATTAGATACCTATCTTGTTATTTATGATTATCGTGAATAAATGACAACAGAAATAGGAATCCCATTTTTGTTTTACTCGTACAATAATATTGTTGCGCGCCTAAGTTGACGTCATGTACCCGGCACTTGCGTCATCTAGTGTCGGGGACGAGAGCGAGGGGAGCTTTCCAGAAAATGATATCACTAATCTTTCAACCAACAGCGCCATCTAGTATCGCAACGAAGAACTAAGCTTCTAGAAGCCCGACACTCGAACTTTCGGCGCCTAGTCGATTGGCGCGCGTATTTACTTGAATATTCTGGATGTTTCGTTGATAATGTGTATTTAAAGGCGCTGCAAGATGCGATCGAGGCAGTATTGAATTTGGCGAGACAAGCGAAGCTTCGGAGCGAAATAAAGTGAATCAGTGTGATTAATTATTAGTGTTTTAACTTTTAATTGGTGTTCGGTAATAAAAGTGTAAATTTTGGGAATTCAATCGGCAGTTTTTATTGTCACGAACCTCAAGCTCGTAATAATATTTCTCCCATTTCACCCGGTTTTT